AAACACAGTATAAGTCATTATAATCAGTAATTATGTCCCCACTGGATGCAACAAATGCCTCGTTTGTAATTGGTTTTATTTGTTTGGTCTCATCGTGCCGGGACACACGGAATCACAGTATGGTAAGGGGCATAACATTTCTGTCGCACGCTCGAGGTATTCAGCCAATCAGAGCACACCTCGCTTTTCAGAAGATGAGCTTTGTAAAAATCGACGCGTTTCAGAAAGGCGGGGCATATAGGAGAAACAATAATGTACAGTATGTGGAAAATAATGTGTTTTTTTAACCTTAAACCGCATAAACATTACATTACACCAAATACACAAAATAATGTTCTTTTTAGCAGCATCATATGACCCCTTTAATGTACTATGATTAATCAGCTGGGGAATGTAAGGTAAAATCTGTGGTGTCTTGCCATGCTATAGGCTAATTACTGCAGTTTTATATAAAAGTAATTACTGCATGGGTTTAATTTGGCAATGAACAACATTCAACAAACCACAGAGTAAACTATGCACTTTGTTATCTAAATGATTGGAAATTCAACCAGCATGTTAATTGTGTGGTTCTGAATCAGTGCCTCACCTATTTTAGACACTCCAATTCAGTCTCATATTGGACTGAGATCTCATTACTCATTATTACTAGTTTCAATAACCTAATATCATCATAGACGAAATGGTCCTGTTGATATTTTACAGCACTGGTTCTGTCCCTTTGGACTGCTGTTTAAATCATGTGCTTGTTGTGAAAATATAATATCTCCAAATCTAGAGAGACTTTAGCTGAATCCCTGTTTACGTTACAAAAAGAGAGAAAAACAAGATCATGGTATCCATTACAAATAGAGAAATATTTCCTCTATTCATAATGTACCCAATAATCTTGTAATGTTTTTGTTGTTGTTTAGTTGTAATACAGACAGACTTGTGATTAGCTTTTTCTGTAACACTTTGTTCTTCTTACAGATGTTCATGTTACTTATTATAATGTTGCAAATTCTGGTATATTTGCACTAGTTCTTTATTTGCTACATATTCTAAAATCATTAAAAACTCTTATGTATTTCATATAACTCTCGTTTCATTTAAACACAAATAGCGCCATCGCGCGTCTTAGTTATATACTGTAGTGAAAATGACCTAAGATGACTTTATTATTAAAAATACTGTAATATTCTGTAATATCAGAACACAGTGTTCGACTGTTATTAGGTCAACTGTTTTGTTAACTGAAATTGTCGTTATATAGTGGGAGCTTTAAGATAATATGCATATATAATATTTTCAACCCAAATTGATTTCATTTCTATTTTTTTCTGATTAGCAGCCATGTGACAATCATGATAATGTACAGACTGCAGTTCACTACCGCAAAGCGTTTCTGAGGTAACTTAATGGAAATTCTGTTATAAGAAGTTACGTTACCAAAATGCAAAGACATAACTACAGACTTTAGCTTGTTATTTAGCCGCCTTACCTTTATGAATCTGTCCACGCTGGTGTCCTCAGACATGACGCTGACTGTGGCACTCACTGATCTTCACTCTCTGGCTTCAACAGGCTCGTACAGGTGCGCTCTTACCTAAATCTTGGCGTGGGACGAGGTCTAAGCGCTAAGATGCCTTCTTATGTACAATTTCCATGCTGTCCGATGAACTTTGGAACAGCGCCTTTCCTTGTTGAACGCGTAACTGGCATTTAACGCAACACACTGTCAAACTCCACAAGACAGTGTCAAACTCCACAAGACAGTAGGAAAGCAATAAAGACGCGAGTTTCTGACGCTATACGTGCTCGGCTAACATCTTACACATGCATTTCACAGGCAAAAGTAGCGCAGACTAGCCCTGGTTTACGTTACTGTTCCTCCAGCCACTATTTGCTAACTGCGCTACGCTGTTCTTGACAAGAGAGTAACAAAACAGACAATAAAAGCGGTAATTCCTCGTCGGCTGCCCGTTATCAGCAGCAGCAGCCGTTACGTTAGCTCTGAAGCTCGCGTTCACAGCAGATGCTAATTCTCGCGCTCATCGCATTACATGCGCGCACGACCTCTTTGATTCTACGATTTTCGCTCGCCTATCCAGCGTTAAGCGATTAACAGTGTTTTGAAAAGCACCATAGAAACCAAATACTATCCTGGGTTTGTTTGCTAAGGTGCTAGCGCTACATTTGATCCGAAGCTGGGGAAGATTGTTCTTCATTATACGCCACATTCTGCGAGCAGCGACGCGGGCGCATTCCGCCACCTAATGCAGAGGAGCTCAGTCAGACCGACCCTCACTGAAAATAATGTGGGGTTTGTGTCTTGTCTTGAGTTGTTTCGTATTTAAAGGCGATTCATATGATTTTGTTAGAAATGTAATAATTATAATCCGAGCGGTCGCCTTGTGTCGTGTCTTCGCCATAGTAGTATGAGGTTATTATTACAGATTTTGATCCACAAATAAATGCAGATTCACAAAGACATTACACACGGAAATAACTGTTACTGTACCTTCTTATCACACTGCAAAAACAATTTGATGTTCTTCATCAGTATTTTTGTCTATTCAAATGTCTAAAGATTCTTTAATCAACATACATTTACTTGAGCAAAATGAAACAATGCAAGTCTTGTTTTATGAGAAACACATCAACATTAAGTAAAGTTATGACTTAAACATAAACAAGTATCTGCCAATGGGCTCAGAAAAATCAACCTAATTCAAAGGGAAAACACATTTTCATATCCACTGACAGATACGGTTTCTTTTTATTTTGTGACTTAATTCCTTAATTTTCAAGTACATATATGTTGATTTAAAGGGATACTCCACCCCAAAATGAAAATTTTGTCATTAATCACTTACCCCCATGTCGTTCCAACCCGTAAAAGCTTCGTTCGTCTTCGGAACCCAATTTAAGATATTTTGGATGAAAACCGGGAGGCTTGTATCTGTCACATTGACTGCCTAGTAAATAACACTGTCGAGGTCCAGAAAAGTATGAAAGACATCGTCAGAATAGTCCATCTGCCATCAGTGGTTCAATCTGAATTTTATGAAGCGACGAGAATACTTTTTGTATTTCGAAGAAAACAAAAATAACGACTTTATTCATCAATTCCTCTGTGTCTCTCCGCATCACCCTAGCGCCATTTTGGAGAATATCCACTGAACGCAAGCAGCATATGCTATTCTGTCAGCCCCGACACAAGGATACGTTTTCTACGTGTATTTACGCTTTGATTTGAACAAAAACAGCGTATCCGTGTGGCGCGGCTGACACAGAAGAGCGTACGCTGCTTGCGTTTAGTGGATACTCTCCAAAATGGAGAGAACACAGAGGAGACAAATTGTTGAATAAAGTCGTTATTTTTATTTATTTATTTATTTAGTCATTTAGCAGACGCTTTTAAACAATCAATATACAAAATAATTTTTCAAGTGGGCAATCAATATCAAACAAATATGTTTGATCCATTTATTTTTGTCTGTATATTATTACAAAAAGGTTTAATCAGAAAAGGACAAATATTTATGCAAAGTGAGAAGAAATGAATGAATTAATAAAAACGAATAAATGAACAAATGAATAAAACCAAAAATCTGAAGCATTTATTTCACAAATCAGCACATGCATGCAAATAATTGTAGTGATTATGCTGTCTATATAATGCTTTAATTAAACAGAATGAAGTCAGCCCAATACACATTTTCCCTCCTTTTGTCTGGTGGATAATCAAGCAATATCTTTTGTAAAATCAACTATACAGTACGTGACTAACTAATCATCACTGCCAAAACAAAATGTATACTAAACGCTTATTATTTTTCAGTAGAAATCAACACATTAATTATGCTAATGCATGAGAATCATAGTAATCATAGTACATTTTAATAATGGCTGGCATGGCTCTTATAATTAGGAAATGGCTTCCTTAAATTAATTCATCCATTTACGAATTTTTCTGAGGGATCTTAATTGTAACCTGTGGAGCAAAAGATTTAGTAAATGATAAATGACAGAATTAATGAGCTGCAATATGGAGATTGCTGATTAAAAATACATCTAAAACACTTCATAAACAAACAATGAATAAATAAATAAATATATTAAAACTAGCTTAATCTACTTGGCATCTTTTAATTTGAAATAAGCAACTTTAAAGTAACCAATCACTGTGGGAAATCAATTTGGGCAAATGGAGATTATAAGACAGATACAAGTGTAACATTTATAGTTTACAATAAAAGAGTGAATTATGAATAATGAGTGCACTTTTATATATCTGATATCAAAAGCTTACCGTTTTGACCTCTGTGTAGTTGTCCAGTCCGTACTCTCCTAACTCACGACCAATTCCTGAGGCCTTGTATCCTCCAAATGGAGCCTGAACTCCGAACACGTCATAACAGTTAATCCTAAGAAAAGAAAATGACAAGTACAAACCACATTTCAGAAAACAGCAAAGGTGTCTGATATACCAATATCCAAGATATGCAATTCCCTTAAAATAATGAAGCACATCACATGCTCACCACACAGTGCCAGCGCGCAGGCCGTTGGATATGTAATGGGCCTTATCAATGTTTTTGGTAAAAACAGCAGCTGCAAGGCCGTATTTGCTGTCATTGGCTCTCTCAATCACTTCCTCTAAAGATTTAAACTTCAGAATTTGCATCACGGGTCCAAAGATCTGATAGTAATAAAAAGGAATAGCATGTTATATCATTTTACTGGAAGAAAATCTTACAGCAAAATGGAATGAGTAGATCGAATCTAAATAGAAATGCATCTATTCACCTCCCTGTGTACATAAGTGCATAAATTGTGCCATATTATTATATTATGGCAAGTTAAAATGTGTATGTAAAATGGCAGATATACAGTAGCTCCTTTGAGGTAAATCTGAAAGAAAAGACTAAAAATATTCATATTATTATGGTTATATTGTGATTTGTGGCGAGATGTGATTGGTGATCTTCCCTACATATCTGGTTGTTAAGTGATGCTATGTCTGAATTTGTGTAACGTCAAGTTTGTACAGCATTTGATGAAGTATGTATGTGTGTAATATTAATACAATCTGCAAAAAAAAAAAAGTTATTTGCATAGCAATCCATTAAATTCCTCTTCCTGTTATCAAAATTCATTACCATATTTGACGTTAAGTGAATAAAAGCCTAAATAAAATCTGTTAATCATAAAGTTATCACATCTTCAGAAGACTTGGACTGAATTGCTTGATTCATATAGATTATGTTTACAATGCCTTTATGAAATTTTCAAAAGATGGACAGAAATAAAAGAAAACACATCTCTATTTGTGTTCTGAAGATGAGCGAAACTTATATAGATTTGGAAGCAGGGTTATTATGGTTTACTAAAACTAAAACCCTAAAAATATATATTTTTGTTTTCTTCGCGTACAAAAAGTATTCTCATCGCTTCATAAAATTCAGATTGAACCACTGATGACAGATGGACTATTCTGACGATGTCTTTCATACTTTTCTGGACCTTGACAGTGTTATTTACTTGGCAGTCAATGGGACAGTCACAAGCCTCCTGGTTTTCATCCAAAATA